GCGTTTACCTCGATGATGCAGGCGCGCCCCACGGCGGGCGGCAGCGATGCGGCCAGTCCCAAGCCCAAGACCGAGGCCGAGGTGCGCGCCGCCAAGATGGACGCGCGCCTGCTCGAGCCGCCGGCGCAGATCCCGGCGCAGCCGCCCATCTGCTTTGTCGACTTCACCAACCTGGTCGGGTGGCGCAACATCCCGCTGCGGATGTACAACTTTTTCCGCGTGCGCGACAAGGTGCGCGCCGGCGCCGAGCTCGGACTGACGATCGTGTACGGGACAAAGGAGACGGCGCGCGACTTCCAAGCCGGTCCTTCGCCAGCCTCAGCCTCGGCCGGGTTGGCTGGTGGTGGTGGCGAGGTGAGCGACGTTCCGCCGCAGGGGGGCGATTTGGACTGGGGACTCGAGAGCGAAGAGCGGTACGCGCCCTACTTCCTCAAGACCGCAGACAACATCGACGAGTCGCGCAGGGCGTACTACAAGGCGTTGCCGACGCACCTCAAGGATGCGCGCGACCTCGCTCGGGGGGTGCGCGAACCGTCGAGGCTGGAACGCAACGATCCGCCCAAGACGGAGGCGGAGCTGCGGGAGCAGAGGCTCAAGAAGGAGGTCGGGTGGCGCAACAACCTGATGGGCTTCGACATTATTCGACCGGAGCGCGGCGTCGAGTGGGACGAGAGGTGGCGTGGATCGATCCGCGTTTTCACGCTCGACGACGAGAGGAGGAGGGTCATTGATGCCGAACAGCAAGAGAGGAGGGAGAGGCAGCAGAGGGAAGGGAGCAGCGGCGCTGTTAAGGGCAAGGGCAAGGGGGTGGAAGTGGATGTGGTGGTGGATGAAGAGTTGAAGGGTTCCAAACCGGCTCAGGTGGTCGAAGAGTCGCAGAGTAGGTGGTGGAAGCTCTTCTGACCAGGCCGGGGCGCACTGATGCGGCGGTGGGGGAACTGAGCGAGCAGGCAGGGCATCCTCCTCGCTGCGTACCGCCTGCTCTCCAACGACGCAGGCCATGACGAGGACGGCGACGCAACACACCCCTCTTTGCGCGCGACCCGTCCGAATCGAGGATGAAGCAGCGCTGCCATGCAGGCGTTTGTGCGGTTAGGTTCGGGCTGACTGGCTATCGTGATACGTGCCGGTTTCCTCTGACCGACCGGTCCGAGAGTGAGGCAAAGAGAGACTGAGGGTAGGATGGGGGCCAAAGCAGGTAAGTTGGGACGATGTAGGACGGTGGAGCGTGACCGGTCAAAGCTGCAGAAGTGGGGCGCAAGGAGCGACCGAGGGCGATGCGTGGGACACGAGGGGGCTCGAAAGAGGGTCAGCACGCCTACTCGTGATAGCCTGCGCTCCGACACAACGGCACGGCGGGACGAGATACTCACCAGACTATCCATGCGGCTCAGCACGTTGAGGACGGCGGCGATGCACTCGTACATGAGCGCGTCGCCCTCGTTGTCGAGCTCGCGCTGCACGGCCCGCGCCAGCTCGAGGATCGACGCGCCCATCGGCCCTTCGTCGTAGGCGCGGTCATTGACCATCGACCCTTCGGCTATCCGCGTCGCCGCCGCCGCCGCGCCAGCCCCGGCACCGGCCCCCGCTATCCCCCCGTTGGCACGGCCGTTGCGACCACCACCGCCGCCGCCGCCTAATGACGAAGACGACGAGAGCGAAGTGATGGCGCCCGTCGCCCCGCCTCCTGTCCCGCCCACGCCTCCGCCCGCCAGACCCGACGAGGGCGCCATTGGCCACGTCGCAAACTCTTCGAGGATGTCGTCGGCTTTCTGAAAGGCCGACTCGCGCGCCTCGTAGCTGAGGTGGTTGAGGGCGTTTTCCAGCACGTTTGCGCTAAAGGCGCAGCAGAGGAGCGAGAGCGCCCGCGTCACCCGGAACGCTATCGGTCGGCCCTGATCCTGTGCGCTTCCACCTGACCCCGCCGAGCCGCCGCTGAGCGAGTCCTCGCGGTAAAAGGCGTTTGGGTGTACGGTGGGGGATGCCGAGGTGAGGAGGGTGAGCACGCGGCGGAGGATGGCGTCCTTGCAGCCCGAGTCGATGAGAGGGTGGGTGGCCATGTCAAAGAGGAGGAAGTTGCGCTTCTCTGTGCGCAGGACGCCCTTGTCGACGAGGCCCTTTGCGAGGCGCTCGCGGACCTGCTTGAGCTGGTATCCAATCTTCATGACGTTCCACGTCTCTCCGCTCATGAGGTCGACCCACTGGGCGACGCTCATCTTTTCGCCGCCCTTGATCATCTTGAGTGCCTCGTCGAGGAGGACCTCTCCGGTCATTTTGCCGTCGATGACGTCGATGGAGCGCTCCGAGAGGTTGAAGCGCTTGCGCGAGGGGTCGCGGGTGATTGCGATGCGGCGGCGGAGGGCGAGCTCGATGAGGATGCAGCCGCGGAGGGTGTAGGAGATGTTGTCGTTCCAAAAGGAGAGGTAGCCCTGCTTGTCCTTGAGGCCGAGGAGGAGGACCTCTTCCATGAGGGTGAGGCGCGGGTTCTGGCCCTGCTCGCGCTCGTCGTTGAGGTCGCGCGGGTCGTAGGCGACCTTGTGGCCGCGCTCGTGGTCGTAGGTGGTGATGGAGCCGGTGGCGCTGCGTGTGCCCGGTGCGGATAGCGAGGCGGAGGAGGAAGGTGCGATGCCGGCGGCGGGGCTCGCGGTGCGGGAGGGGTAGTCGTCGTCATCGTCGAGGCGGTGGGCCGACGAGGATGGGGCGGAGGCGGTTGCGCCTGCGCGGCGTCGCTGCAGTCCGCCTGCCGAGGAAGCCATGTGGGCGGCGAGAGGGTGGACTGGACGGTGAAGGAGCTGTGATGAAGGGGATGAGGAGGGCGAGCAGGGGATTGAGGACACCGGGAGCGAAGAGTGTTGGTGTGAGAAGGAGTGACGGGCAGCGACCGGGCTTGGCCTCCCCTTTTTCCGCGTGGGGTTGGTTGGTCGCTCTCTCGCTCGGTGCCTCTGTGCTGCCGGCGGGTTAGGGCGAGGGCGAGTCGCGCCCTCACTACTACAGAGAGGCTGGCTCGACCGCCACCAGCTAGCAGGGCGCTGTTGCGCTGCTCCCGGCCGACTAGACAAAGGGGGCGCCCGCCTCCACAAGTCAGGACCCTGGCGGGGTTTTTTCCGTTTGTCGACCCGCGGCGTCGTCTGTTCTTCTCGACATGGCCTCGTCCTCTCCTCCTTCTCATCCTCATCCTTCTCCTCCCGCCCCTCCATCCTGCATCCTCATCCACCCTCTCGGCCGCCACCATGGCCCCCGAAAAGAGGCCCGCGCCCGGCGCAGCGGGTCGCTCCAGCGCCAACCCGAACCGCGCAAACGCCGCATCATCATCCTCGTCACAGTCACCGTCGTCGTCGTCTTCCAACGCCCAAGCCCCACCACCAAACTGGAAGAAGCGCAAGTTTGAAAAGGCCCAGTCCGCACGCCACATACAGACTCAGATGCCACGATCCACCTCCTCCGCGCACCCACCCTCTGCATCCACATCCGCTTCCAAGCACCACACATCGTCGTCGTCAGCCTCGGCATTGGCATCGGCAGCGCGCACCGCCAACACCGCACAGCCCCAACCCTTACCCCCGCAGCTCGACCTCGAAGCCGCCATCTCTTCGCGCGCCTTCCAGATACGCTCCTTTCAGAATGCCCTGCGCAACGCCAAAAACGCAAACACTACAAGGGCATGGCAGCTCCTCCCAAGGCACGCCCGCAGGAGGGCCGCATCCCACAACCTCCTCCGCCTCCCCACCCGCCTCCGCCCAAAGGCCCGCAGCGAGCTCAGCGCCAGCAACACCCTCGCAAAGACGCGCGCCCAGATACGCAGCCGCCTCCCCACACACGGCATCGTCCGCGCCACCCTCCGCCGCCAGAAGCTCGCACAGCGCGCCGCCCACCCCAACCGCAAGTGGCTCGAGACCCACCTCTGGCACGCAAAACGCTTCCGCATGTCGATCGACAAGGGCAAGTCAAAGGAGTCGGACCAGGGCGTACAGACCTCGCGCTGGGGTTTCGTGCTGCCAGAGACGACCATGATGAAGAGCCACAAGGCCAGCTGGAGGAGCGCACTCGAAAAAGTCACCCTCCACGACGCCAGCTACCACGCCGTATTTCGCCTTGGCGCCGAGCGCATCCTCCCACCATCCCAGACGCTCAGCGCAGAGGCAGAGCACGATGCCTGGACCTTGCTCCTCACGCTCCTCGACCAGGCACTCGACCGAGCCGGCATCTCGACCGCCGCCGCCAGTCCGGGCAACGACACACAGGCCAGCGCCGACGGCGCCGTCCAGGTCGACGCCATCCTGACCGCTCAGCGCCCCTCCACCTCCGCCAGCACCGCAGCGCAGGCGAGGGCCGCCATCGCGCCCGTCCGCATCTTGCGCCTCCCCCAGCGCCTACGATTCATCGAGCCGGACCAGCAGGCAGCCTCGTTGCTCTCCAGGCGACAGGCAAAGAAAAAGGCCAAGACGAGCAAGGACAAGGCCATGCCAGGAGATGAAGCTACGTCCATGGGTCTCGACGAGACCGAGAATGCTGCCCCTTGCCCCGGCCGCTTGACCCGCATCATCCGGACCGAGGCTCTCCTCGTCATCCACCCCGCGGCTGCCCTCGACCTCCGTAGGGCCTTGAAGCACGCTGGAGTCATCATGACCGACGAAGACAAGGCGACCGTCCAGCTCGAGAGCGCAAACGTCGTCAGGCTGACGGCGACCCAGCTCGACAGCGCCCCAGACCCCTGGGTCGCCGCCGGCGGCAAGGACACCACCGCGTCCAAGCTCAAGAAGCGCAAGCGGGCCCAGAGCATGGCGGCGACCTCGTCGTCGTGGTCGTCGTCGTCGGCCCCGGCATCCAGCCAGGACTTCCAGGAATGGACCGTCCTGGACCGGGCGATGCAGAGGCAGCGGCAACATGGCTTCAACATCTTTGAGCTGGTCGGGCCCGATGCGGGCAAGCTGCTCGCCAGCGTGCTGAAGCCCATCGAGCGCGGCCAGCCGGCTCGGGGCAGCTCCGCCGGCGATGCTCACGCCGCCAACTCCAAGGAGGCGTTCCACGCGCTCAAGTGCCAGCCGGCCGTCGTGCCCACCGATACGAGCAAGGCAAAGGCGAATAAGGGCGCAAGGGCACCGCCAGCTCGCCCGCTCCTGCCAGACAACACCGTCCTGGCGTTTGAGGTGCACGATCCGCGGCTCTCGTTCCCGCCCAAGCTCGTGCCGACCAAGTCGCCCGAGGTCAAGCAGCAGCCCATCCGGCCCGCGGCCGAGCTGGCCTCGAGCCGCCTGCTGGCGTACGGGGCGACGGCGCCGCGCTTCAGCAAGGGCGAGATCGACTCGCGGCGCGCCAAGCTGCCCATCCCGGGCACCAGGCTCAAGCCCGACTCGCGCGACGACATTGTGCCCGTCGTGGTGATCCGACGCCGCCTGACCACTCGCAACCCCGCACCGCCGCAGCCGCCATCGTCCACATCGGCGCGGGACGGAGAGGGAGAGCGAGACAGCGGCAGCGGCAGCGCGGGCAGCAGCGGCAGCGGGGTCGATGGGTACACCCTGATTCTGCCGCGCGGCTGGGGCATGGCCTTTTTCCTGAGCCTCGCCAACACGCACCAGAGCGGCTCGAGCAAGGGTGCCCGCGTGCTGGGCCAGAGGCAGATCCAGCACCAGAGCCTCGAGATTGCCGCGCTCCGCACCGAGGTGCCCGCCATCGCGTCCTCGGCGTCTCCCGACTCGGCGGGTGCGGCCGATGGGCAGGCGAGCTCCTCTGCCGTCGCCGTCGACGACGGGGCGGCACCCGCCAGGCAGGCGTTCGAGGGCCTCTTTTTCCCGCGCGACTGGATCGGCACGCGCGCCTATGCCGAGATCGAGAAGGAGGCGTGCGCGCGGCGCAAGGACGAGTGGGCGCGGCGACCCAAAGGCAAGCGGGTCGAGCACGTCTTTGTCGACGAGTCGGCCGTCAGGCCGCTGTGGACGACCGAGGACGCGTCTGCGCCCGCAGCGACACATGCCCTCGCTGCCAACGACCAGTACCAGAGCAAGAGCAGGAGCGAGAGCGAGAGCAAGGTCTCGTCCCAGCCCTCAGCCGGCGAGGTGGTGGCGGCGCTGCAGGCCAGGCTGCGCAGCGACCGGCTGGGCACCTCTCGACCCTTTCCCTTTGGCGGCGTCGGCGTGTGGGAGTGGCTGAGCGCCAACTCGGAGCGCCTCTTTGGCGCTGCACGCCCCGGCCACGATCCTCGGGCGGGCGCGGACTCGGGCTCGAACTCGAACTCGATCACCAGTGGCGGTGGGGGCGAGGACAAGCCGTGGCTTCTGCCGCTGACGCAGTCCGAGTGCTACGACGTCGACGCGCTGACACGGCGGGTCGACGAGGCGGCGCGGCGCGGCTCGCACGTCTACGCCAACGCGCTGGTACCCGTCAAGCTGAGCCTGACGCGCAAGGGAACGGCCGAGGAGCTGAGCAGCGTGCTTCTCCCGCCGAGCTACGACGACCAGCAGATGTGGATGCAACACGTCGACGTCAGCAAGCACCCTCTGTCGCTGCTGTGCAAAAAGCCGAGCGGCAGCGGTGGTGCGGCACTGCTGGATCGGGAGACGGTCAAGAGGGAAGTGGAACGACGGCTGGAACGGCTGCAACTGGGTCGATCTGCGCCGCCGCTGCCTACTGCGCTGGGACACGCCAAGCGCACCGTCGAGGCGCAGTTGGGCGCCACCGGAACAGCGGCGGCGGCGGCGGCGGCAATGGTGGTGCCGAGCGAGGCGGAGCTGGATGGGGTGCACGATCGGTGCGCCGACTGGAACGGGAGCGTGGGCATGGTGCTGAGCGGCGACTATGCGCTGGGACGCGGGCGCGGCTTTGGCATCGCGGCCATGACGCTCAAGGCGTGGATCGAGGTGGTCAAGCGCGAGGAGCAGACGAGGACGCGATGCGATGAGGCGGCAACACGCGCAGGAGCAGGATCGGGGGGAGGGAGGAAGAAGAGGAACCCGGTCGAGTCCCGATTCCTCGTCCTGGTTCGGGCGGTGGGGAGCGATGTGGTGCGACCGTGTACGGCCGTTCCGATCCACCTCTAGCGCCCATGCGTCCATTCAATCGATCCGTCATCTCGTCTCGCCCGCCCGTCCATCCGTCCGTCTGTCTGTCTGTCTGTCGTTCCTTGCTATTGTTGCTGTTCCTCGTCTTGTTGCTGTGGTGGTGGTGATAGCGACGGGGTGGCGTCACCGTCTGCGTTTTGCCCCTGCCGCCGCTCGAGATCGAGGCGCCTCAACCGCCTCTCCTCGAGCTTTTTGGCGATAAAGGCGTCTTTCCACTTTTCGATTTCGGCCTCGCTGGCCACGATGCCGCGCTGTCCGAGCTCGGCGCGCGCGCGGTTGCGGATGAGGTTCTCTGACGAGCGCTGCTGGTCCTCGTGCGAGAGGAGGACGGTATCGGCGCCCGTTACGAAGCCGAAGATGGTGGCTATGCG